ATCAAGCCAGATGATAAAACATAAGAGAACGAAACGCGTCCTCTAAGATAAGCCTCCCTTTTGTCTTTATCTATATTGTCCTTTTACAGATATATATATTTAATTACATTTGAACTTTTTTAAACACACACTCATATATATATATATATATATATATATATAAAAAGATCGTATTAAAAAGAACACACTACAACGACTTACTAGCAAAGGCGCTTTAGCCTCAAGCTCATAGGCTATAATCCCTGTATTTGCAACATGATTAGCGAAAGGTATAGAGCACTTGCTGGTAATTCTCCGTAATAACTTCTTTTTTAATACGACCTTTTGATGCCCTGTTTGCTCGTTGAACGTTTTACTTATTATATTTATCATCTTGATTAATACTTTATACTCCCTCTCTCTCTCATTTTCTCGCTATATATATATATATATATATATATATATATATATATATATATATATATAAATTCAGCTACTAATAAAAGTATTGAGAGGAAGTCATAATAGTGGGTTAGTGCTGAAATGTTAATGATGAATGAGGCGTGTGATATGAATGAAAATGGAGGTGGGGTAGGAGGTGACTAGGAAGATAAGGGTTATAGATAAACATTGACCCTTCTTGGACAGGTGCGTACGCACACTTTTGACACCCTGTAAATTTTATGTATTCCTCCATTTCACATTGATTAAAAAGAACCGATAAGGTGTGTCTGTTTAATATTTTATTTTATTTTTCCAATTTTGGGATAAGGTGTTGAGTGTTGCGGAAGAACCTGTCTGAAGTTCATATTTTGTTATTTTTGTTCTAGTACTTTCGACTTTCGTAGTCATTATCCAGAACCGATGAGATATCTGTGTGGTAGTTAGAATTCCTTTGTTTGCTACTTGCTATTGTTTGAGGAGCTGGATGTTTGCAATGGTCTGGCGTGACGTCATGTGTAACGATATATAGGTAGATAGATAGATAGATATGAACAGAATAGGATAGGATATGATAGATAGATAGATATGAACAGAATAGGATAGGATATGATAGATAGATAGATATGAACAGAATAGGATAGGATATGATAGGTAGATAGATATGAACAGAATAGGAAAGGATATGATAGATAGATATGAACAGAATAGGATAGGATATGATAGATAGATAGATATGAACAGAATAGGATGGGATATGATAGAGAATGAACAGAATAGGATAGGATGGGATAGATAGATAGAACAGAGATAGGATAGGACATGATAGATAGATATGAACAGAATAGGATAGGACATGATAGATAGATATGAACAGAATAGGATAGGACATGATAGATAGATATGAACAGAATAGGATAGGACATGATAGATAGATATGAACAGAATAGGATAGGACATGATAGATAGATATGAACAGAATAGGATGGGACATGATAGATAGATATGAACAGAATAGGATGGGACATGATAGATAGATATGAACAGAATAGGATAGGACATGATAGATAGATATGAACAGAATAGGATAGGACATGATAGATAGATATGAACAGAATAGGATAGGACATGATAGATAGATATGAACAGAATAGGATAGGACATGATAGATAGATATGAACAGAATAGGATAGGACATGATAGATAGATAGATGATGTGAACAGAATAGGATAGGACATGATAGATAGATATGAAAGAATAGGATATGATAGATAGATAGATAAACACGAACAGAATGAGATAGATAGATAGATATGAACAGAATGAGATAGATAGATAGATATGAACAGAATGAGATAGATAGATAGATAGATACGAACAGAATGAGATAGATAGATAGATAGATACAAACAGAATGAGATAGATAGATAGATAGATACAAACAGAATGAGATAGATAGATAGATAGATACAAACAGAATGAGATAGATAGATAGATAGATACAAACAGAATGAGATAGATAGATAGATAGATACGAACAGAATGAGATAGATAGATAGATTCGAACAGAATGAGATAGATAGATAGATAGATAGATACGAACAGAATGAGAGAGATCGATAGATAGATACGAACAGAACGAGATAGATAGAGAGATAGATAGATAGGAACAGAATGAGATAGATAGATGAACAGAATGAGATAGATAGATAGATGAACAGAGAGAGATAGTTAGATAGATAGATGCGAACAGAATGAGATAGATGGATGATTCGAACAGAATGAGATAGATAGATAGATAGATGCGAACAGAATGAGATAGATAGATAGATGAACAGAATGAGATAGATAGATAGATGAACAGAATGAGATAGATAGATAGCGAACAGAATGAGATAGATAGATAGATGAACAGAATGAGATAGATAGATACGAACAGAATTAGATAGCTAGAAAGATAGATTGATACGAACAGAATGAGATAGTTAGATAGATAGATAGATAGATACGAACAGAATGAGATAGATAGATATAGATAGATAGATAGATACGAACAGAATGAGATAAATAGAAAGATAGATACGAACAGAATTAGTTAGATAGATAGATACGAACAGAATGAGATAGATAGATAGATACGAACAGAATGAGATAGATGATAGATACGAACAGAATGAGATAGATAGGATAGATTCGAACAGAATGATAGATAGATAGATAGATAGACAGAACGAACAGAATTAGATAGATAGATAGAACAGATAGATAGATAGATACAAACAGAATGAGATAGATAGATAGATAGATAGATACAAACAGAATGGGATAGATAGATGGATACAAAACAGAATGAGATAGATAGATACGAACAGAATGAGATAGATAGAGACAAACAGAATGAGATAGATAGATTTTGCAAACAGAATGAGATGGATAGATAAACAGAATGATAGATAGATACAAAACAGAATGAGATAGATAAATAGATGAGATAGATAGATATGATGAGATAGATAGATAGATACGAACAGAATGAGATAGATAGATGAAACAGAATGAGATAGATAGAGAACAAACAGAATGAGATAGGATAGATACAAAAGAATGAGATAGATAGATAGATGAACAGAATGGAGATAGATAGATAGAGAACAGAAGGAGAGATAGATAGATTGACAGAATGAGATAGATAGATAGATAGATACGAACAGAATGAGATAGAATGATAGATAGATAGAACAGATAGATAGAGAGATAGAGGAACAGAATGAGATAGATAGATAGATAGATACGAACAGAATGAGAGAGATAGTTAGATAGATAGATACGAACAGAATGAGAGGATAGTTAGATAGATACGAACAGAATGAGATGGATAGATAGATAGATTCGAAACAGAATGAGATAGATAGATAGATACAGAACAGAATGAGATAGATAGATATGAGAATGAGATAGATAGATAGATACGAACAGAATGAGATAGATAGGATGAACAGAATGAGATAGATAGATAGATGAACAGAATGAGATAGATAGATAGATAGGAACAGAATGGGATAGATAGATAGATAGATACGAACAGAATGAGATAGATAGATAGATATATGAACAGAATGAGATAGATAGATAGATACGAACAGAATGATAGATAGATAGATAGATGAACAGAATGAGAGATCGATAGATAGATACGAACAGAATGAGAGAGATCGATAGATAGATACGAACAGAATGAGATAGATAGATAGATACGAACAGAATGAGATAGATAGTTAGATACGAACAGAATGAGATAGATAGATAGATTCGAACAGAATAAGATAGATAGATAGATACGAACAGAATTAGATAGCTAGAAAGATAGATTGATACGAACAGAATGAGATAGTTAGATAGATAGATAGATAGATAGATACGAACAGAATGAGATAGATAGATATAGATAGATAGATAGATACGAACAGAATGAGATAAATAGAAAGATAGATACGAACAGAATGAGATAGATAGATAGATACGAACAGAATGAGATAGATAGATAGATACGAACAGAATGAGATAGATAGATAGATACAAACAGAATGAGATAGATAGATAGATACAAACAGAATGAGATAGATAGATAGATAGATACAAACAGAATGAGATAGATAGATACGAACAGAATGAGATAGATAGATACGAAGAGAATGAGAATAAAATGATAGATACGAACAGAATGAGATAGATAGATAGATAGAACAGAATGAGATATAGATACGAACAGAATGGAGATAGATGAACAGATGAGATAGATAGATATAGATAGATGAAAACAGAATGAGATAGATAGATATAGATAGATAGATAGATACGAACAGAATGAGATAAATAGGAAAGATAGATACGAACAGAATTAGTTAGATAGATAGATATGAAACAGAATGAGATAGATAGATAGATACGAACAGAATGAGATAGATAGATAGATAGACGAACAGAATGAGATAGATAGATAGATAGATAGATACGAACAGATAGATAGAAACAGAATGAGGATAGATAGATAGATACGAACAGAATGAGATAGATAGATAGATAGATACGAACAGAATGAGATAGATAGATAGATAGAACAGAATGAGATAGATAGATAGATAGATACGAACAGAATGAGATAGATAGATACGAACAGAATGAGATAGATAGATAGATACGAACAGAATGAGATAGATAGATAGACACGAACAGAATGAGATAGATAGATAGACACGAACAGAATGAGATAGATAGATAGATAGATTGATACGAACAGAATGAGATAGTTAGATAGATAGATAGATAGATACGAACAGAATGAGATAGTTAGATAGATAGATAGATAGATACGAACAGAATGAGATAGTTAGATAGATAGATAGATAGATAGATAGATACGAACAGAATGAGATAGATAGATAGATAGATAGATAGATGGATAGATACGAACAGAATGAGATAGATAGATAGATACGAACAGAATGAGATAGATAGGTAGATAGATAGATACGAACAGAATGAGATAAATAGATAGATTGATACGAACAGAATGAGATAGTTAGATAGATAGATAGATACGAACAGAATGAGATAGATAGATACGAACAGAATGAGATAGATAGATTGATACGGACAGAATGAGATAGATAGATAGATAGATACGAACAGAATTAGTTAGATAGGTAGATAGATATGAACAGATTGAGATAGATAGATAGATACGAACAGAATGAGATAGATAGATAGATACGAACAGAATGAGATAGATAGATAGATACGAACAGAATGAGATAGATAGATAGATACGAACAGAATGAGATAGATAGATAGATATATACGAACTGAATTAGTTAGATAGATAGATAGATAGATAGATAGATAGATACGAACAGAATGAGATAGATAGATATATACGAACGAATTAGTTAGATAGATAGATAGATAGATAGATACGAACAGAATGAGATAGATAGATAGATACGAACTGAATGAGATAGATAGATACGAACAGAATGAGATAGATAGATAGATAGATAGATACGAACAGAATGAGATATATAGATAGATAGATACGAACAGAATGAGATAGATAGATAGACACGAACAGAATGAGATAGATAGATAGATACGAACAGAATGAGATAGATAGATAGATAGATACGAACAGAATGAGATAGATAGATAGATAGATAGATACGAACAGAATTAGTTAGATAGATAGATACGAACAGAATGAGATAGATAGATAGATACGAACAGAATGAGATAGTTAGATAGTTAGATAGATTGATATGAACAGAATGAGATAGATAGATAGATTCGAAGAGAATGAGATACATAGATAGATACGAACAGAATGAGATAGATAGATAGATTGATACGAACAGAATGATAGATAGATAGATAGATAGAAAGATTTGAACAGAATGAGATAAATAGATAGATTCGAAGAGAATGAGATACATAGATAGATACGAACAGAATGAGATAGATAGATAGATAGATACGAACAGAGATAGATAGATAGATACGAACAGAATAGTTAGATAGATAGATAGATAGATGGATACAAAACAGAATGAGAGATAGAACAGAATGAGATAGATAGATAGATAGATACAAAAGAATGAGAATTAGATAGATAGATTTAGATAGATAGATGATATGAACAGAATGAGATAGATAGATTGATAGAATAGATAGATAGATTGATACGACGAAGAATGATAGATAGATAGATGAAAGATTTAACAGAATGAGATAGATGGATAGAAAGATTTGAACAGAATGAGATACATAGATACGAACAGAATGAGATAGAGATAGATAGATAGATATGGATAGATAGATAGATACGAACAGAATGAGATAGATAGATAGATACGAACAGAATAGATAGATAGATGGATAGATAGATAGATTAGATAGATAGATAGATGGAGAATGAACAGAGATGAGATAGTAGATAGATAGATGCGAACAGAATGAGGATAGTAGATGGATAGATGCGTACAGAATGAGATAGATAGATAGATACGCACAGAATGAGATAGATAGATGGATAGATAGATAGATACGAACAGAACAGATAGATAGATAGATGGATGGATAGATACGAACAGAATGAGATATAGATAGATGAACAGAATGAGATAGATAGGGATAGATGATACGAACAGAATGAGATAAATAGATGGATTGATGCGAACAGAATGGGATAGTTAGATAGATAGATAGATGCGAACAGAATTAGTTAGATAGATAGATAGATATGAACAGAATTAGTTAGATAGATAGATATGGAACAGATTGAGATAGATGGATAGATAGAATGAGATAGATAGATACGAACAGAATGGGATAGATAGATACGAACAGAATGAGATAGATGGATGGATAGATACAGAACAGAATGGGATAGATAGATAGATGCGAACAGAATGAGATAGATAGATAGATAGATAGATGTGAAACAGAATGAGATAGATAGATAGATAGATAGATACGAACAGAATGAGATAGATAGATAGATATATACGAACTGAATTAGTTAGATAGATAGATAGATAGATAGATACGAACAGAATGAGATAGATAGATAGATACGAACAGAATTAGTTAGATCGGTAGATAGATAGATACGAACAGAATGAGATAGATAGATAGATACGAACTGAATGAGATAGATAGATACGAACAGAATGATAGATAGATAGATAGATAGATACGAACAGAATGAGATAGATAGATAGATAGATACGAACAGAATGAGATATATAGATAGATAGATACGAACAGAATGAGATAGATAGATAGACACGAACAGAATGAGATAGATAGATAGATAGATAGATACGAACAGAATGAGATAGATAGATAGATAGATACGAACAGAATGAGATAGATAGATAGATAGATAGATACGAACAGAATGAGATAGATAGATAGATTGATACGAACAGAATGAGATAGATAGATAGATAGATACGAACCGAAATGAGATAGATGAGATATAGATGAGATGAACAGATGAGATAAATAGATAGATAGATACGAACAGAATGAGATAAATAGAAAGATAGATAGATACGAACAGAATTAGTTAGATAGATAGATACGAACAGAATGAGATAGATAGATAGATACGAACAGAATGAGATAGATAGATAGATAGATACGAACAGAATGAGATAGATAGATAGATAGATACGAACAGAATGAGATAGATAGATAGATACGAACAGAATGAGATAGATAGATAGATACGAACAGAATGAGATAGATAGATAGATACGAACAGAATGAGATAGATAGATAGATAGATTGATATGAACAGAATGAGATAGATAGATTGATACGGACAGAATGAGATAGATAGATAGGTAGATAGATAGATACGAACAGAATGAGATAGATAGATACGAACAGAATTAGTTAGATAGATAGATACGAAACAGAATGAGATAGATCGATAGATATGAACAGAATGAGATAGATAGAATACGAAACAGATGAGATAGATAGATAGATATGAACAGAATGAGAGATAGATAGAACAGAATGAGATAGATAGATACGAACAGAATGAGATGAGAACAGAATGAGATAGATAGACACGAACAGAATGAGATAGTTAGATAGATAGATAGATGAACAGAATGAGATAGAGATAGATAGATAGATACGAACAGAATGAGATAGTTAGATAGATAGATACGAACAGAATGAGATAGTTAGATAGTTAGATAGATTGATATGAACAGAATGAGATAGATAGATAGATTCGAAGAGAATGAGATACATAGATAGATACGAACAGAATGAGATAGATAGATACGAACAGAATGAGATAGATAGATACGAACAGAATGAGATAGATAGATACGAACAGAATGAGATAGTTAGATAGATAGATAGATACGAACAGAATGAGATAGTTAGATAGATAGATAGATACGAACAGAATGAGATAGTTAGATAGATAGATAGATACGAACAGAATGAGATAGTTAGATAGATAGATACGAACAGAATGAGATAGTTAGATAGTTAGATAGATTGATATGAACAGAATGAGATAGATAGATAGATTCGAACAGAATGAGATACATATAACGAACAGATGAGATAGATAGATAGATAGATACGAACAGAATGATAGATAGATAGATAGATAGAAAGATTTGAACAGAATGAGATAAATAGATAGATTCGAAGAGAATGAGATACATAGATAGATACGAACAGAATTAGATAGATAGATAGATACGAACAGAATTAGTTAGATAGATAGATAGATAGATAGATACGAACAGAATGAGATAGATACGAACAGAATGAGATAGATAGATAGATAGATACGAACAGAATGAGATAGTTAGATAGATAGATACGAACAGAATGAGATAGATAGATAGATATGAACAGAATGAGATAGATAGATTGATACGAACAGAATGAGATAGATAGATAGATTGATACGAACAGAATGAGATAGATAGATAGATTGATACGAACAGAATGATAGATAGATAGATAGAAAGATTTGAACAGAATGAGATAGATAGATAGAAAGATTTGAACAGAATGAGATACATAGATAGATACGAACAGAATGAGATAGATAGATAGATACGAACAGAATGAGATAGATAGATAGATACGAACAGAATGAGATAGATAGATAGATACGAACAGAATGAGATAGATAGATAGATAGATAGATAGATACGAACAGAATTAGTTAGATAGATAGATAGATAGATAGATAGATAGATACGAACAGAATGAGATAGTAGATAGATAGATACGAACAGAATGAGATAGATAGATAGATACGTACAGAATGAGATAGATAGATAGATACGTACAGAATGAGATAGATAGATAGATACGTACAGAATAGAGATAGATAGATAGATACGAACAGAATGAGATAGATAGATAGATACGAACAGAATGAGATAGATAGATAGATTGATACGAACAGAATGAGATAGATAGATATATAGATATATAGATAGATTGATACGAACAGAATGAGATAGATAGATATATAGATTGATACGAACAGAATGAAATAGATAGATATATAGATATAGATAGATTGATACGAACAGAATGAGATAGATAGATACGAACAGAATGAGATAGATAGATACGAACAGAATGAGATAGATAGATAGATAGATACGAACAGAATGAGATAGATAGATAGATAGATAGATAGATACGAACAGAATGAGATAGATAGATAGATACGAACAGAATGAGATAGATAGATAGATACGAACAGAATGAGATAGATAGATAGATAGATACGAACAGAATGAGATAGATAGATAGATAGATACGAACAGAATGAGATAGACAAATTGAATAAATTGACAGAGAAAAATGATAGATATGACCAGTATTATATAGATCCCTTTTCTATCTTGTTTCCTTATAATATCCCTTTATTTAATTGTACGTCGGTCATCAACGTCTCCGTATGAAAGCACCTTTTGACACATGCCTTATTAAGAATGGTTAATGACAGAAAATATGTTTATCTTCATTTTTTTAACCTAAATTACCAGAAATACAAGGAAGTTGCACCAAAATCGTTTGTTTTGCCCTTAACTTTTCTACCAATCATTCTTTGTCAAGGGATTTGTTTTATTTCGTTATTTTATTATTATTATTTTAATTTTTTGTAGGTGTTAAGGCGTTTTCCACGGGCGGAGAGAGGGGGCTGATTTTTCACTTTTTCAATTGTCCACTGTTTGAATTGTAGATCTTATTTCTGTCCTTCCTGTTCGGAGTCCGCTTGTCTTCCGGTTTCACTTTGTTTGGCCATTCGAGAAATTGACATTTTCATCTTTTAACGTGACACTTACTTTAAAATCCCTTCTTTCATATCTTCATTTTTTCCTCCTCCTTGTCCCTCCCTTCTTTTCTCTCCTTTCCTTAGTTGTGTCCCTTCTGACCTCCCGTCCTTCCTCCATTTCTTCCTATCTTTGATTGTTTACCCCTCTCACTCCCTCTTTCCCTTTTATTTTCGTTCATTTATCCCTTTCTTTCTTTCTTTTTTCGTTCTTTCTTTCTTTCTTTCTTTCTCACATCACTTTATATAAACACAACGTTGATTGTTATTAGCTTTAAATACGTCTGATAACTTTCTTTTTATTTTCTTTTGCAGCAGAGAGAGGTTGACTTGTACCCGCATCGGTTTGACGGTAGAAGGTTGACGCTAAAAACAACCGCATGACGACATGACGAACGGAAACTGAATAGAAATAAATAAGGAAAAAATATTATAAGAAAAAAAAAAAGCGGGAGAAAATCAAGGGAGTTAATTTAGGAAAAGTAGAAAACAAAACAAGAACTTTGCCGAACATAAAAGTGACACGTGTTCAATAATATTGTAAGATCGCCTATTGCAATTAGAGAGAAGACGACAGTCCCGGAAAAGGATAAAGAGGTGGGGGTGGCGGAGCAATGGAAGCAACAAGAAAAGAAAAGGACGAATGGCTGGATAAACAAGCGGTACACAGTAGACATGTAATCCGACAGCCACAGGTGTGTGGGTCGTGAGATAGAATGGGCCGAACAAAAAAAAAACCGGTCCTAAAGTTGATTAAGGGGTAGCAAGAACCCCCCCCCCCCGCCATCTCTTCTGAAGGAAGGAAACTCCTGGAAGATCTCCCTTCATATCTCTTAGATATTTAAGGAAAAAATGACAGCTTAGTTAAGGAGACGTGGGAATCAAAAGCAGTATATTAACTAATGGCCTCGTAAACTATCGATCCAAACGAAGCGTCTCGCATAATGCCTTTTTTCTGGCAGTAATCAATTCCACTATACCACAACAACGAAAACCTATTACATTACTTGTACATGTGTATAAAAAAATAGTTCAATTTATATCAAGAGGCTACTTTATCATTATTATTATTATTATTATTATTATTATTATTTCCTTTGATTTCTGGTGTGTACACATTTCTTTCCGGGTCCCGCCCAGAGACCTAAGGTTAGAAATGGCATCATGACATTTTCCACTGACCAATGAAAAAAAACACACATATTTTACATAGATAAAGCCCTTCGTAAGGTGTGGGCTGTACTCATGAGAACAATTTTTTTTTATTTCCTTAAGACATGGGCTTCCAGGAATCTCTTCAATTAGCCTACAGGAATATTTTCCAACCAATCCGAGGGCTGCAACTAGAACAGTTATTGTTAATGTTCCCATGTGCCACATTTTTGAAATTTCGATTTCAAGGTCCTTGTATTTTTATAGCTTTTAGAAAATCTTTATTATTATTATTATTATTATTATTATTTCACTTGGTTTCGGCTGTATACAGATTTCATTCCGGGTCCCAACCAGAAACTTAAGGTCAGAAATGACTTCATAATATTCTCCACTGATCATTTGTGCAAAAAAAAAATCATTTCACACACATTTTACATAAAAGTCTCTGTGAACTGTACTTGTGAGTAGAATTTTTTTGTATTTCATTAAGGCATAGGCTACCAGTACCCCTTCAATTAGTTTATTGGAATCTTTTCCAATCAATCCGAGAACTCCAATTACAACTGGAATTACTGATGTGCTTATGTCACATTTTTGAGATTTTCACTTCGAGATCCTTGTATTCTGATAGTTTTTTTAAGAACTTCAGATATACATCACAATCTGCAGAAACTGCTGTGTCAATAAGAAAGCACATTCTGTTCTTGTGGTCTTTGATCGCGATGTCTGGGCGATTAGATTTGATTGTTCTGTTTGTGTGTATTGGAAAGTCCCATAAAATTCTTGCAGGCCCTATCTCTGTAACTGAATCTATGTGATGTTCATACCAGTTTATTGCAGTTCTTTCCCGTAAAAGTTGCATATTTTCCAGTGCAGATATTGGCCAACTCTGTCATGCTGAGTTTTATATTCAGTGGATAATAACACTGTGTAACCTGATACAAGATGGTTAATTTTTTTCTGGATATTTATCATAAATTATGCATTTCGGGGTAACACAATTTTTCAGTATGCGTGCTTGGTAATTTCTACTTAGCAAGTATTGGCCCTTCAGTTTCAGCTTTTAACACTGCACTACGTAACCATTGATGGGTACAGGGTTTGTCTGCATCAGCTTGCTTGGTACGGACTGGGTTTTTGACCATTGCTATCGTTTCTGTATTTGGTGCATTGCATTTGCTTTCTTTTTTAGGTTCTTTGCCGCTAAACTGGATGTATTATGTTTTGTTTTTGTTTTTGTTTCCTTTTCTTTTTTTTTTTTTTTTTTTGCATTTCTTCACCCACCTGAAATTCTCTTTTGAATTTGTTGGCTTCCTTTATTACTGCTCATCAGTGTGGCTAGACGTCCGGTTGCCTCTAGCTAGGATCGAAACCCGACTGAATTGGGGTCAGTCGGGAGATTCTACCACTAAACCGTTGGCGAACGGCAGGGATGAAGGTGAATTTAAGCGTATTTTTCGATAAACACACAGAGAGAACTCAATTCGATTTATCGATAAGAGTCTTGCATTATTAGCCGTATATAATATATATTCATTTAAACATGTTTGACGAGAAACAATTTAAACCTGTTGTGCTTAATTATCTTCAATAAGATCCTTTCGTAATCACGTATAATTTTTCTTGTTTCGTGATTAAAGACAGCAAGAAAGGCACACGTTTACATGTTACATCAGACATGTTTAAATGAAAATATGCTGCCAAATTATACGGGACACACACACACACATGCTTACGGAGGTGTGGAGGCCTCACACTTATACACTTATACACACACCCACACGAATATACACACTTACACACATCATACTCACTCACTCCCTAATGAGCCAAATGATAACACACACCCACAGCAATATACACGCTTACACATATCATACTCACTCACTCCCTTAAGACCCAAATAACCCGCACACAAACACTAAACAGAGACACATCCCCTCACCAGGTCCAATAAAACTGTCAAACTGACCAAAGAAATTCAGAGCAGCATAGATCCATCCAGCTCTTATCTCAAATAACAACTTAAAAGAGACTGTTTGAACAACACAAGAAATGTTAAAAGATTCATGTTAAAAAGATTAAAAAAAAAAAAAAAACAAATGAAAACTACAGACAAAAGTTCATTTTCTCCAACAAAACATTCATTTCTGTAGTTTACTGCTACCAGCAAGCAGAAATATTTCTCCTCCCGATGATGGCCATTTCGGTCGAAACTAGTCGAGGATTCTAAATGAAATAATAAAAAAAAAACGAAAGAATATTAATCTACAACCCAGTGTGTCTAAAGATTTTTTAATATTTTTTTTATTGTTCAATATATATATATATATATATATATATATTGTTCTAGCATCCCCATGGTTGATATTCGCATAAATATAGTAGTAAGTATTCACATAAATATAGTAGTAAGTACTGTATGTTGGTCTGCAGTTGGAGATTCGTCTCCAGTTGTGCTGGTCAAATTCAAAGTCAGAGAGGATCCCGAGGCTATGTCGAAGATCATAATCTCGTCTCAGGAAACAGCTACTTGAACCCGTTTTATACGGGGTCTGTGTGGAATTTTTGACCGAGCCTATGGGCTCGGATACCCCACATTAAATTCGTCCTTGTGCCACATCTGACCGCGTCGGAGTGGTTAGTAGATATCCTGCAGTTGGAGATTCATTGCGGAATTCACTTGACTCACTTCTAGCAGTTGACTACTTCTTCTACGCGCCGCTGGCGAATCATATATGCGTTGTTCGTGTTCCTAAGTATTATCGTTCATTACCAACCTTCGTGGGATTATTCCTATCTTCCCTAGATTACAACATATATATATATATATATATATATATATATGTGTTTGTGTGTGTGATAAAAATCTAGTTTTAAGGTAAGCAGTATTTATCGGTAAAAGTGTTCAATATCAGAAATTGAGCGGATGAGGAGGCACGATGGAATAATAGATAACGGCTCTGATTGAGAAATCAGAGAGCCGAGTTCGAATTCCAGTCGAATCCATTACATTCACTTACGTACTAATATGAATCCTGCTAGGTATGAATCCTCTTCTTCACCCGGACCAGGTTCTATAGCCTTTTACCGTAGAAAGATATGGTAACCTACTGTGGAAAAAAAAATCTGCCTCGTCGCCTAAGAGTATATCACCATCTCGAGTACAAATGTGTTGTGTTTTGGCTTGACTATTTATGTCAAAGGTGCATTATGGGTAATAAGGTTTATTGTTATCTCATTAATTATTACTTATTACTTAATTTTTTGTTCTTGATTATTACTTATGTTTTTGCGTGCTTTCGTAGTTTAATTTGCTTATTACATATTTTTTATTTATTATATTTTTTTCTTTTTTTCTTACGTATGTTGCATTATCTGCGTTGTATATAATGTATACATTTGCATTGATCATAGCAGTATCTTACAATGTATTCATTGTAAAATACTATTATGATAAATGCAAATATATACACTATATACAACGCAGACAATGATATGATAAATAATAATCTTTTTCAAATTTCTACAATCAACGGCCAAATTCTCCGTAACGTATTTTTCAGTGTGTTAGACGCACCTCTTACCCGAAAATTCGATATCAGTCAATTTTAGTGAGAGTATAAATAAATAAAACACAACAGTTATGCTCCTTCGTTTAGCATGTGAGCCGCAACCTCCTGATGTTTCTGTATTAACCAATTCTTTAAGTGCTTTAATGATGAAGGAATCGAACAATTGGATGAAACAGGAAGATTTCACTTCAAGCCCCCAACTGGACGAAGAAAAAGAATGACGCTTACTCACTTGTGGATTTGGGTGAAGAATTCATGTGGAAAACAAGTGATATATGGATTAAGTCATTTAAGAAATGTGATATCAATAGTGTAATGAATGTGATCCAGAGTGCCATTCTCTTTGATCATATTAGATCCAAGGATAAAATTTCTTATCCAGATAATGGAAGCAATTAGGATTTTTTAACCAAACTGGATAATAGCAAACATTTTATTTTTATTTTTTTTAATTTGATGTTTTGTGCAATTTGGTGTTTAATATATATATATATCTAATGTATCAGATTCTTTTTTTTTCTTCAAGAAAAAGTTTTCAAGTACAACCATAGCATTTGTTGCGAAAGCTTTATATTTAAAATACGAGGCGTCTTATACGCCGGCGCGTCATATACACCGGTACGTCTTATACTCTGAAAAATACGGTATAACACGTTACGGTATTCTTAAACTTTGTCAGTGCAGCTTTAAAAAAAACAAAAAAACTTGGGTCTATTATTAAGAAGTCGACGTTTCATCTCAACCTGATTAGACGTGTGTCTCGTTTTGTCCGCTATTCAAATTCTTACCGACTTTATCGGTAATTTGTAGAATGCACTTTTTTTTTTTCAAATTATTCCCCCCGGTTTATTTAAGAAGAATCTATTAACATCGAAAACGCCCCGATAATAACACTTACTTCTTAACTCGCGTCATTCACTTCGGAAATGAGAAAATAATCCTCTCTT